GACTTGCTGGGGAAGCTCTCCCACTAACTCTTCGTTTTGCAATTGGATACATAGTCTGTTCTTCAAACTGCCTTCAAATGTTGCTTTTGATAGAGCTGCAGTTTCTAAACAAGCCAAATCTTCAACCAAACAACTAGAAATTGCTTTAGTTTTCTCATTGAGACTGAAGACTTTGAAATCCATTTGTTACATAGAGATTTTTCATTGTAATTTTATTGTATTTGTTATTACTAATAGGATTTGACTTGTAGACATTTAAGTATTTCTTGTCCAAAATTCTTAGACCAGAGTGTTTCAAATTTTGGAGTTTTTCAGATTTGGGAATGTTTACATAGACTTTTATTAGTTGAAAATACTTAGTATGAACCCAAAATGCTCTGAAATTTGAAACTTTTTTTTCTGACAGTGGTGCTTAACCATGGAGCCACATCTCCAACCCTTTTTACTTTTTTATTTTGAGACAGAGTCTTGCTGAGTTGCTTTGGGACTAACTAAGTTGCTGGGGCTGGCTTTGAATTTGAAATCCTCCAGCATCAGCTTCCTAAGCTACTGGGATAACAGCTGTGTGCCATTGCACTTGGCTCTGAAATTTGAAGTTTTTTTGAGTACTGGCATTGTCCTCAAAAAGTTTCATATTTTAGCTGGCATAGTAGCACATGCCTATAATCCCAGCGACTGGGAAGACTGAAACGGGAGGATCCAAGTTGAAGGCCAGACTCCATAGCTTAGTGAGACTTGTATCTCAAAATAAAATTTAAAATGGATGAGGATGTAGTCCTACAGTAGAGCACCCCTGGTACCATACACAAAGGTTTTGGATTTTGGAGCTTGTCAGATTTGGGGATAAGGGATGTTCAGTTTATATTATACTTCTTCCCCACTGGTTTTCCGTTTGTTTGCTTATTGCCCACTCTCAAGGGACTGGGGACAGACTGAGCTGCAAGTTCTCATATCATCTCTTACCCCCCACCCCATCCTGGGGATTGAACTAAGAGGCACTTTACCATTGAGTTATTTCCCCCTGCCTTATTTATTTATTTGTTTGTTTGTTTGTTTGTTCTAATTAGTTAACACATGTCAGTAGAATGCATTTTGACACATTGGACACGAATGGAGCACCACTACTTATTCCTCTGGGTATATATCAGATAATATCTCACTAAGTTGCGCATTTTGGCCAGTTCTTCTGTTATCAGCCTCTTGATACCTCAGATCACAGGTATTCACCATCATGCCCAGCTCTCACTTTTAAAATTACCTGTACCCTAAAATACGTATTTATAGTCCCTGCTGTCTCCAACATATGTATCCTCAATACGCAGCTATACCGACCTACTCCGACCGTGAGGACAATTGCCTGGAAGTCTCAAGGCACAAGAAAAGGAATAATAATATTCAGGTGTTGTAGAGTATTTTAAGGCACTAAAATAGAATTTTTAAATTCATTAAATGGATGCCTTCCCCTACATTTCTTAATAATTGGGTTAGTACTCCCTTGTGTATACATCCATTATGTAAGTGTGGCTAGACTATCAGCTGGGTTTGCATTTCATTTATGTGTAAATCAGAAGCATCCCAGATATTCTAGTATAAGTCAAGTTTTTGTCAACTTGATTTCTTTTAGGCGCTTGCTACTTATCTGCCAGTATTGATAGACAGGGCTTTCTCCTTCAGTACTCATTGAAGCCTCACAGATTGGTATGCAACTGCCACTCTATCCCAGGGAACAAATACTTAAAATATTTTTGTATCCACCTCTCCTAAGCAGTCCACACATACCAGTTTCAAGCTTGTGGCCAAAGGATGTAAAAATTGATTTTGGTTGATAGCAAATAGGTTCTGTCTCCTGCTCTGAGCTTCCCACAACACATTTATCTATGTGAACACCTTGTTGATTCTCTTAAGCCACCTTATTTTACTATAACTTATCAAGGAAAATATACAGCATGATCAGTCATCAAGAGCTTATTCATAAGAAGCCTCCAAAATCTGTTATCAAATCAAGTCTTTTTTGATTTATGGCTAATATACCTACCATTTTCTAGATTATAGTTAAAATTTTGATAAAATGCTGATTTGCTTATTCCGTTCCTTTAAAAAATAATAGCTTTTTTTTTAGTAGAACTTGGGGTCCTTAAAGCAGTTTTATATGCATTAAATTTAGTCATGACAGTAGTTCAGTAAGTCAATCTAGTTGTTAGCCCCATAGTCATTAAATGACGTGTGTGTGATCAAACTGTAGAGATCCATGCTCACAGGCTGGAATCTGAATTTAGGCCTTATTTTGAATTATTACACTTTTGGCTTCAAGAAACCTGAGAATTGGATGTGGCATGGTGGCACACACCTGTAATCCCAGCGACTCTGGAGGCCAAGGCAGAAGGATTGCAAGTTCAAGATTAGCCTTGGCAATTTAACAAGGCCCTACGCGCCTTAGTGAGACCCCATCTCAAAATAAAAAATAAAAAAGGCTTGAGATATGGCTCAGTTGATAAGTGCCACTGGGTTTCAATCCCTAATACCAAAAAGATGTAGAAATCTGAGAGTTGGGCATTGTGGTATAGGCCCTGAGTTCCAGGTCTTAGGATGCTGAGACAGGAGGAAGTTTTTTTTTTTTTTTTTTTTAAGAGCAAGAGAGAGAAGAGAATTTTAGTATTTATTTTTAAGTTTTTGGCACACAAAACATCTTTCTTTGTATGTGGTGCTGAGGATCGAACCTGGGCCGCATGCATGCCAGGCGAGGGCGCTACCGCTTGAGCCACATCCCCAGCCCCTAGGTATATGATTTATGTCATAAAGTTGTCTTATTGAATGTGACACTAGCTACCTATACGCACAGAGTCTGGTCCGTAATGAAAATTCAAAACATTTTAGTTGCTATTTCTGTTTGAAGTCTAGTGAATTAACCATCTTCAATGTTTCCAGTATGTTTGGTGCTCTGAGAGTAAGGGTTCTCCCATCACATAAGACTACTGGCAAGGGCTGGGGCTGTAGCTCAGTGGTAGAGCGCTTGCACCACATGAAAATTAACAAATAAAATAAAGATATTTTTTTTTTAAAAAAGGACTACTGGCAAACTGAGGGTGGAGGCACATGCCTGTAATCCCAGTGGCTTTGGAGGCTGAGGCAGGGGGATTGCAAGTTCAAAGCCAGTCTTAGCAATTTAGTGAGGCCCTAAGCAGCTCAGCAAGACCCTCTCTCTCAATATATGCAAAAAAAAGTCTGGGGATGTGGCTCACTGATTCAATCCTTGGCATGAAAAACAAAACAAAAAGACTATTGGCAGTATCCCTTTCTCTGGAGATCCAAAATGAAGATAAACACTAATAAACCTGTTAAGTATTTTAATCAGGTGCTTACTGAGTTTGAGCAATTATACCTATTAAGTTCCCTCAAGTTGATAAACACTGGAATGATAACCTTCCACTAAACTCCATATGTACATTTGAAAGATTTAGAGATTGTAGTTTTGGTCCCTCTTCCCCTTAATTTCTGTGAATTCAACCCTTCACAAGTGCAAGTGCAGCTATTTGTCTTAAGGCAAAACCGTCCCAACTTTATCTTGTAGAGTACTCCAAACTTGCCACCAGGTGGTGCTATTGTATAAAATGAAAGTATGTAAATGTTGGAATATTTTTATATCTAAGTGAAAGGTGGCCAAACATTTGTTAAAAGTTACACCAGAGGTCAGTTTAACAAGGGCTGGGGTTGTAACTCAGTGGTAGAGTGCTTGCCTAGCACACTTGAGGCACTGGGTTTGATCCCCAGCACCAGTAAATTTAAGAAAAATAAAGGTATTGTGTCCATCTACAACTAAAAATATATATATATATTTTTTTTTAAAGAATTTTTAATATATATTTTTTAGTTCTCGGCGGACACAACATCTCTGTTGGTATGTGGTGCTGAGGATCGAACCCGGGCCGTACACATGCCAGGAGAGCGCGCTACCGCTTGAGCCACATCCCCAGCCCCAAAATATATTTTTTTTAAAAAAAGCTTTAACATCATGGGTGCTGTGTAAATGCGTGTAATCCCAGCAGCTTGGGAGGCTGAGACAGGAGTGTCATGAGTTCAAAGCCAGTCTCAGCAACTTGGCAAGACCGTGTCTATAAATAAAATGTAAAAAAGGGCTGAGGATGTGGTTCAGTAATTAAGCCCCCTTGGGTTTCAATCCTTCAACCAAAAAATAAAAGAAGTCAGCTTATTAACATAAATGCAGTGATGTGTAGCCAGTAATATCAGCAGTTTGGGAGGATAATAAGTTCAAGCCCAGCCCAGGCAACTTAGTAAGACCCTGTCTCAAAAATTCTTGGGGATGTAGTTCAGTGGTAGAACATTGCTGGGTTCTAAACCTAGTATTAGGGGATAAAAAGTAGTTTACCATTCACTGGTTTTGGCAGAAGGACTTTTTCCAGTTGTGATTTTTAGTTAAAGAAAGGCTCTCTCAACCTAGAAATTAAAGGTAACCCAGTGGTCGATGTGACATTTATATCATCACCAATGAAAACAATTAAGACCTAACAATTCTTTAGTTTTTTAGAGGCATGCAGAGTAGAAAATAGAGTATCCTTGGGAAAGGCAAGTGAACAAGATTCAAGAGTGGTCTCTGTGGTGTGTATCCTGGGTTCATATTCTGTTTGACTTAGTAGCTTTGCAACCTTGAGCACAATTGTGATACCTATTATTTTTCCATTCTGTAGTTGACGATGATATATGTGTGTGTGTGTGTGTGTGTGTGTGTATTAAGATTGAACCCAGGGCCTTGTGCCTTTACCACTGAGCCATATCAAAGGTTGCTGTTGATGATCTCCAGCAACCTTGTCTGAGTGTACAGAAAAAGAAAACTTACCTTTTATGGCATTGGTATGGAACAGAGTAATGTGTTTAAAGCATTAGAAAATGCCTACCTAATAAATAAGTGGTAAATACTAGCTGTCATTTTGTCATTGGCTATAATTTTTTTCCTAAATATTTTTTTTTCTGTTTTTCTCTACAGTTTATTTTCAGTTGCTTTTTAAAGAAGGAAAGCTCATGGTGCAAATTGTTATTTCCAGGTGAGTACATTTTGAGGTTTTACTTAGCTTGAATAATTAGGGCTATATAGGTTTCATGTCTTTCTGGAAGAATCAGGGTCCTCAGGTGCATCTTGCATTGATGTTTGCATTCACATCTATAGTTGAGTGCCTAGCACTGCCCAGTTTCCCAAGAACTTGTGCTCAACAGAGTCTCTTTGGGCCTTGAATGGTGGTGTAGGACACTACTCATCCTTCACCCCTCAAAAATATTGTAACCGCCAGCCCTTTGCTTGCAGTGCGGGGGCTGGAGGCCTGGCAGAATGGGTGCTGATGGAGCTACAGGGGGAGATCGAGGCTCGCTACAGCACTGGATTAGCTGGAAACCTCCTGGGAGACCTACATTACACCACTGAGGTGAGGGGGCTTTTCTTTCCCTGCCTAATGCCTCAGGAAAGCGAGCTACACCAAGGTGGTGCTCCCAGGATCCAAAGTGAGGACTGCCCTCAGGTTTGTTATTCAAGATCTAGCTAATCTGCAGAGCTATCTGCTTGTTCTTCCCCCACCTCTGCAGTAACAGGGAAATTTAGCTTTGGGTTTTCTAGAAAGGTAACATTTCTGAAAGTAGAAATTCTCCTACATGGGGCTAAAAAGAAATAAAAAGGGGATAAGGGTGGGTCATCCACTGTGGCTGATCAACAGTGGTAGAGCCAAACCAGGGAATAGAGGTGCCAAGAGCAGCTTTTAAAAGGCACCAGAGTTGAATGGCCTTGCCCTGAACCTCAGGCATCTCATTCTTGTTCTGCCTAAGGGAATCCCTGTGCTGATCGTGGGACATCATATCCTGTATGGGAAAATCATCCATCTGGAGAAACCTTTTGCGGTCCTTGTCAAACACGCTCCTGGGGAGCAGGACTATGATGAGCTTAGCCACGAGACTGGCACCCGGTACCTGGTGACGGCACTCATCAAAAACAAGATCCTTTTCAAAACCCGCCCCAAGCCTATTATCACCAACATCCCCAAGAAAGTATGAAAGAACCCCGGATTTTCCCTAGAGAGCGGCCAACTCCTTGGACTCGTGCTCCACTGCCACCTCGAGGACGGCTTGACGGTTCCCTGGGACCACAGGGGGGTCCTATTCTGAACGCAGGCCACCCACTGGGTGTGAACTCGGATCCTTTCCTTATGGCAACTGGTTCTCTTGGTGGAAATCTGGCCCCGTTTCCAAGGAACCCATCTCCTTTTCCATCTTCATCAGGCCCATTGGCATCAAATCCAGCACCTTTCCCTGCTGGTGCTCGTGACCCAAGCATGGCTTCTTTTCCAAGAGGGATGAATCCTGCTGGCACAGGCGCAGTTTCTTTTCCAAGGCCCGGTGGCCTCTTGGGCCCAGGACCAGGACCAACTCTAAACCCTAGAACAGGGGCACTCCCAGGCCCAGGGCCTATGTCTAACCCCAGGTTAGGAGGTCTCCCAGGCCCAGGTCCTATGTCTAACCCAAGAGCAGGTGGTCTCCTGGGAGCAAGTCCTGATCCTAGAAGTGGTGGCTCCTTAGGCCCTGGATCTGTACCCAACCTGAGAGCAGGTGGCTTGTTACCTTCTGGGAATGGTCCTCCCAATCCTAGGCCAGTTAGCCTTGGTCCTGGACCAAGTCCCAATCTGAGATCAGGCTTTTTAGGTACAAATCCTGCCCCTAGGTCAGGTATGTTTCCAGGCCCAAGCCTTGGGCCCAACCCACGAACAAGTGGCATGGGTCCAGGTCTTGGTCCTAACCCAAGGGCTGGTGGCCTAGGCCAAGGCCCAAATATAGACACCAGAACAGGTGGCCTTTTGGGTACAGGATCTAGTCTTAACTTAAGAATGGCTGGACCTCAAGGCCTAGATCTTGCCCCCATTCTAAGAGCAGCAGGTCTTTTAGGAGCAAATTCAGCTTCTTTCTCACAGGCTTCTGGAAACATGGGTGCAAGCCCATCCACCATGGCAAGAGTGCCTGGCCCTGTAGGCCCAAACATGGGTCCTAGCTCTCGTGGAATTGGCCTCCCAGGGCCAAATCCATCTCCCATGTCAAGGGCTCCTGGCCCTATAGGCCCTAATTCAGCTCATTTTTCAAGGCCAGGTGGCCCAATGGGAGTAAATGCCAGTCCCTTTCCAAGGGGAACAGGTCCAGGGGGACTGAACCCAACTGCCTTCTCTCAGTCTTCTGGGACATTGGCTTCCAACCCAGGTACCTTCCAAAGGTCTGCTGGCCTCCAGGGCTCAAGTCCTGCAATTTTCCCAAGAGCCTCTGGGCCACTTGGCCCCAACCCAGCCAACTTCCCAAGGGCCACTGGCCTTCAGGGTCCAAGTCCAGCTGCCTTCCCAAGATCTACTGGTCCATTAGGCCCAGGTCAAGTTGCTTTCCCCAGGTCAGCTGCTGGGCCCTTGGGTTCTTCTCCAGCAGGCCCTGTAGGTATCAACCCAGCTCCTTTTGCAAGGCCAACTGGGACCCTGGGTCTAAACCCAGCCTCCTTTCCAAGGATGAATGGCCCTGCAGGTAAGAATTTGGTCCCATTTCCTAGAGTGGGGAGCCTCCCTGGCACAAACCCAGCTGCTTTCCCCAGACCAGGTGGTCCAATGGCTGCAATGTACCCAAATGGAATGTTACCCCCTTAAACACCACTTTCTCTCCAGGACCACCTTGTTTTCCAGGCACTGTGGTTTTGGTTAGGGACTATCTCTTAGGTAAAAGGGTTGAAATGGAGCTACTGTCTGAAGAACATAGCTGGGGCTCAAGTTCAAATGAGCCATTTTCCTCTGCTTTTTTTTTTTTTTTGACTGAAAGTGAAATGTTATTTGTGGGACACTTCGACTTTGGCAGGAGGGAATGATCCTAGCCTCAAGAGAAAGAATCTCCAGCCTTCCAGAAACCTGCTGTGCTTTTGTCCCACAGCTTTCTGCCCCTTGTTTCTTACTAGTTTCTTGAATTGTTCTTGTGGACTTTTCCTCAGGGATACATTGGCCTGCAGGTCCCAATTCGTGTGTATTCCCCTGCTCCCCACTGGAGAATCAGCTCACTGCTTTCTAGAGGTGTGGCATTGGTGAATGAACCATGCTTCAGTAGCTCTGACCTGGGCAGCTTGGACCTGGTCATCTTCTACTGCCAGACCTTTCCTTGGGGGCTTGAACACAGAGCACAGGGAGGTAGACAACGACTTCACGGACCCACCAAATCAATTTTTGCTTGAGTGGCTGGGCCTGCAGCTCCTTTCTCCTGGGACTTAGAGACAGCTGGATTTAAAGACTCCTCTGCTTATCCAGCTCCCTCTCCACTGGTACTCCCAATCAAAGAACCTCAAGATTTAAACTGATGTGGGTGGGAATATAGGAATTAGGGTGGGGGTGGGGGTGAAGGGGAGAAATCACTGTGCTTCGTTCAGCCTGACGTGAAGGATGGTTGGTGTTTTTCCCACATTGTATCTTTTCTTACTGTTTCTCTAATAAATGGGATGAGAGGGCTTCTGCTGTTAATCCATTTTGTTACCTGTTCCACAGAGAGAGGTTACCTGTTTTTCATTATTTCAGCTTGGCCGCAATCCTCTGTTACCTGCCCCGTAAAATGCTTCCACTCAAGGAGTAAGGAATCTTTGGTTTTTAGCTCACTCATTTGCCAGTTATTTCACCATAGACCCTGCCTCACCTCTACAATAAAAGCCCTCATGGGTGTGTAGTTATCAGCATAGGCCAACTATATTCCCCATGTCAAGTCAGCTATAACAACTTACCTGCTTTCGAATTCCACTGATTAAACTGTTTCAACTTCAGTCCTTTTGATGCTAGAATAAAGGGCCAATTTTATTAGGTACAAAGAGGAAGTAGCTGAAGGAGCCTTACTCTTATGGTTTGGGTACGAAATGTCCCCCAAAAGCTCTTGTGTTAAAAGCTTATTCCCCAGTGCAACAGTGTTTGGAGGTATAATGTGATTGTATCATGAAAGCTCTAACCTCATCAGTGGACTAGTTTACTGATGAATGGGGGGTGGGGGGAATGGGGATTGAACCCAGGGACACTGAACCACATCCTTGCTCTTTCTCCCCCCCCCTCTTTTTTTTTTTTTTTGAGAAAGGGTGTTAAGTTGCTTAGAGTCTCACTAAATTGCGGAGTCTGGCTTTGAACTTGCAGTCCCTCGTGCCTCGGCCTCCTGATTCACTGAGATTATAAGGCATGGCCACCATGTCCAGCAGATTCAGAGTTTAATAGGCTATTGGGAAGTGGTGGAAACTTAAGGAGGTGGGATCTAGTTGAAGGAAGGAGATTACTGTGGGTAAACCTTTGAAGGGTGTACTTTGTCCAAACCCCTTCCTCTCTGGATTTCTTTGCTTCCCAGTAGCCATGAGGTGAACAACTTTACCCACTCCCCACATGACCCCCATCATGTTATTCTACCTCACCATATCCCCAGAAACAGTGGAGCCAAGCAACCATGGTCTGAAACTTATGAAACCTAAAGCTGATTTATGTCAGGGGTTTCAGCACATAAATGGAAAGCTAACAGCAACATTACATGAATCTTTATTTTGACAAATAAGTGCAGTATAAAATTTTTGACCTGAAAAATTAAGGGAAAAAAAAGGCTCCAAGGCAATTGACAGAAGCAGCCCTTCTTGGTTTCCAGCCACAAACAGGACAGCACCTGTCATGTGACCCAGAAGTGTTCCCATTTTGTGTCCCAGGCTTTGGAGGCCAGGCTCCAGGCTGATGCAGCACCATGGGGTTGTCAAAAAGCACCAGGAGTGAAAGATGCAGCAGGATCATGGAGGCTATGGGCACCCAGTATGGGACTGGTAGCAGCATTGGGGGAGGGGTGAATGTGAGAGTAGCTGATGCAGGGCAGAAGCCAGGCTTACTGCAGCACCCAAGTAGGAACAGCAGCCAGGCCAAGACCTTAAAAAGGGATATGAAGCAGGAGTAGCACAATGATAGCTACAAGGCTGCTGCCATCTGCAAAACTAGTGCTGAAGGTGCCTCAGCAGTCAGTATCAAGAAGACCAATAAACTTGGGCAAAGCTTGGGCTGAAACCCTTGGAGGTCAATGCCATCAAGAAAGAGGTAGGCACCAAGGAATCTGTGGCAATCGATGTCATCAACCCCATGACCTTGTGATAGCAAGAGGAGCTGTAGAAGCAAGTAGCTGCCAAGGAGAAGCATCTGCTGGACCAAAAGTTGGAAAACTATGTATGATGGTACATGCCTGTAATCCCAGCTGCTAAGAAGGCTGAGGCAGGAGACTCGCAAGTTCAAGACCAGCCCAGGCAATTTAGTGAGACCCTGTCACAAAATTCAAAATAAAAAAAAGCTAGGGATGTAGCTGAGTGGTAGAGTACCCCTGGGTTCAATCCCCAGTACTAAAGCAGGTAATCACAGTTGAAGAAGATAAAGACACTGAGGGAGGATGAATCCTGGCTTGACACCACAACCTGTCACAGCTGCAGAATAACTTGACAGAGAACAGGACTGAGTTGCTGGAAGAAATGGATCAAGTCTGGTGTCAGTACTCTGGAGGAAGAGGAATTTAGGCAGAGTTGACCAGACCCCCAGGGCCTCACTGTGGAGTGTGCCATTGATTCCTTTCAAGAGGGGATGGCTGTAGTCTACCCTTAAGGATAGAGGTGTGTTACTGAAGGAGGAAGATGTGCTGGTGAACTTGAACCTGGTAGATAAGCAGAAGGCAGAGAAGAAGCAGTCTATCTGCTTCCCTCATGCAGAGAAGAGAACATGGACTTGGCACAGCAAAAACCTCTGGCCTGGCCAAGTTCAGTGAGTAGCTGGAGGGGGTGCAGTTACAGTCCCATTTGGACCAGGGCTTGTATGGTCAACAAACTTTGGGAACTGACTGGAAGAGGTCTGGGTTTGGCAGGGCTCTGGTTTGCCTCTGAATACTTCACACCTAAAAAAAAAAAAAAAAACTAAGCTAAGGGTGAAGAAAATCTGCAAGGAAAAGGAGGTGGTAATATAAGCTTGCTATCTTTTGGGGGACTAGACTTATACTGGAGACTTTGGTTCTAGACTGCAGGGCCAGGGTTGGTAATGAGTGCCCACAGCAGAGTAGGTAGCCCCAGAGGATAAGGAGCCTGTGTCCCAGCCACCTTCATTGGATACCATCTCATGGAGAAATGGACATCACCTCCAAGAGTGGTGAGAAGGTGGTAGAGACTGAAGAAACAAAGTGGATTCCCAAGCGGAATAGGACCATCCTGTTTAATGCTACCTTGGAGTTTTATCGTACCTTTGGTGAGATACCCACCTATTGTCTGGCTGTCAATCAGAAGGAGCTCAAGGACTGAATGAGACTAGAAGCAATGGTGGCTCTGATTCAGACACAAAAGTTAGAACATTGACTAGAGCAGCCAATCTAGATGAGAAGCCACCACCATCCTGAACCAGGCCTCTATTGTGAACAGAGGTCTGGCCACTGTGTCAGAATAAAAGGTTGATATAGACAACAGTGTAGGAGTGATGCTGGTGAAGGCCCCCAATAAGTCCCTGTCCTCAAGGTATACTGTACTGAGGAAAAAATGGCCAGAGAAAAGGAAAACTGGTGGGAGGAGTACCATGGCTTCATGCAGGACTTCAAAGAGAATGACTACAAGCCTGATGTGAAGATTGAGCACATGGATGAGATGGACTGGAAACACACACCCAAGGAGGCTTTCTGGCACCTGTCCCACCATTTCTATGGGAGGGATTCAAGCAAGATGAAGACGGAATAGTGATGAAAAAGCTGAACAAGGATGTGGCTCCCGAAGAGCTCCAGCAACATGCCCTTGGGTACCATGGCTTTAAGAGAAGCAGAAGGCCCAGAAGATACTATACATTAGGCTTAGAGACATCAGCAAGAATAGAAACATGAGCACCATCACCAAGTGGAGCTGCATCCCTTCTAATCCCTTCCCAACTTTAAATTTCCCTTATTTAAAAAGCAGGTAAAAATAAATATGTTTACAAATTATTGTGAAAATAATACAAAAGAAAATTACATTTCTCTATGAGGAAAAACAAAATGTGTTCAGTAATATAAAGGCTCTTCCCTTGCAAGAAATGGGGATAAAGCTGAAGACCCAGTTTGGTTTTGTTGCTGAAAAATGTACAAAATAACTTAGAAAAACCAGTCGAGGTCAAACGTTGTGAGCACGATACCTATACTTGTCTTCTTCTGGTCTGAGGAAAGGTGACCACAGTGCAAGGCAGAGCTGATGGTAGGACAGTCAGGAGTTTTCCATCCAGAGTCCATCATCCTGCATTAACCTTCAAGTAAAAGCTGAAGAAAAACAAGCCCTTAGTGAAGTCTGAGCTCTGCAGTTGGCTGACCGGATTTCCTCCATTGTAATGCTCAAAATAGTTTACTTCTTGGCCAGCAGAAGCACGGAAGAGCCTAGAACTGCCTTTGGCAAATGCCTGCTGCTTCCCAGTTATCAATCCTGGGCTTGACATTAACCAGCAGTTTTATTAGAAACTTGAGGTCTGTGTGATATAGCAACTCTTGGCTACACCTGGAAAACTCTTGAGCTCATGGAAGGAGGAGGAAAGCACCAGGGTTTGCCCATCTATAGTTCAGAGCACACTTTGTTCCTTTGTACAAAAGCACCTGGGTACACTGGAGGATTGCCCCTTCAACTACTTTACCTTAGTGTTGGTTCTGAGAGGTTAGCTGGCTTCCCTGGAAAAGGGCATTCAGAAAGACAGCAAGTAGACAACTCTAAAGTCAAAGGCTTAGTCAATCCCAGGTTCAAACCCAAAAGCTGAACACAGTCTATTGCAAATCACTAGAAAATTGCTTCCCCTCACTCCCAAAGGCAGAGAAATAAACAGTCCTGGGGCTGTGTGAGAGAAAGCAAGAACCTTAGTATATAGGACCCAATTCCATCTCCTTGTTTGCTTTCTGTTCCAAAGCAAGCAATGGCAGTAGTGACAGTCCATAACCTGGTTGTAAGATTTCCCTGGAGAAGCTGCTGAGGAAATGAACAGTCTCAAAGATGACCAGCTTGAATTCGAGGGTTCACTTTGACAACACTGAATAGCTTTCTGTTGGAGATGATTGTCGAGAACAGTAACTTGAAAGTCATCCATGCTCACAGGCTGTCAAGTAATTGATCCATTTCCAAGATGGTAGCTAGTTTGATCAGAAGCTTCCAATATTCTTCCAGTATGTGCAGAAAGCAGTCATGCCTATTGCACAGGGTCCTATAAGAGCCCTAGGTGCCATCTTAAGAAACTTACCCATGATAATGAGGATGGAAGAGGTAACTCATTTCATACCCCCAAAAAAATGTGCCTTTGAAGAAAGTGAAGTAAGGAGGATGTAACATCTAGCCTTAGATCAGAGCTGAAACTGAGGGGAATTCAAGAGGGTACAGATTGAAATACCCAAAACCTCACTTCCTTTTGAACACATAGGGGTTTGATCTTCCTGGTAGTTGGCTAAAACATTTTTATCTGCCCAGCAGAGATCATAGCAAGGT